TGCTGACAGCCCAAGAGGTGGGGCTGTATCAGCCCAGCCCCAAATGCACAACAAATTAACCCTAGGGAACACAAGTTCTCTAAGGCACTCTAAAACAGAGGGCAATCATCTGATACCTCATTTGAGGAGGCTTAATTTTTCGTGCAATCGGCCACTTTAAAAGCATTCTGCAGCAAGCACATGTGTCACGGTACAGCAATAGAGCACTTCCAGGGGCCTTATTGCATGAAAAATTTAACTTCTGTCTGCATCCCAGGTGATCAGGTATTTGCCTGAGATGCAAGAAAATCAGGTTCAGATCCCTGCCCTGAATTAGCAGATTGTATAGAGCTGTCACATATCGGGGGTCAGTGATCTGACCGTCAGGATATTGGCTGTGCTGTAATGAGGCCACTCTCTGGTTTCATGAGAAACTGGTTTTATAAGATGAACTGGTAGAATTTTTAGTGAAACCAATACCTTCCCACAAACATTTCAGTTCTGGGAATTCAGTATTTTGGAGCAGTGGGGAAGAAGAGAGAACTATTTTGTTCGGAAAAGCCTGATCACCTCTTGAGCTTACCTGGGCCAGTTACTAGAGAGGCTCCTTTTTTCTGGATCAAAATACTTTCACTGGTTTCTGCTAACCTTTAGAACAGTTGGGGAGTGTGGAGGGGGGGGGGGAAAACAGTGAACAAATGGCTAAAATACCAATTATTCCTCTATTTATCATTTAATTATTTAAAAGAATCAATATAAACAAAGCATTATGAAAAGGAATATCAACTTAAATTATTATTTGAAATTTTACATCATGTTAAAGCCACAACAAAAGATTTGCTTTAAGCACATTGAAAAGATTTTTCTTAAGTAGCTGCCTTTTGGTGTGGTATTTCTTCTCTGTCACAGGATGTTCCTTGATTGTAGAAACTATTTAAGCTATGGCCACAGGTCTGATGCAGGCTGCTCCCAGTTCTCTCCCATAATCCACTTTAAACTGAAATTTTTGAAATACTCCAGACGGTGGCTGTTGGTGAGAAACAGATAGAGAGTTGTAATTTGTAAGTAAAGAACAAGTCTCACAATAACACAATATTCACTTTAATAATACACTTTTAAATTAACTCTTATTCCAAAAATGGGTTGTGATCAAAACACAATAGCTGGAGCTACAATTCTGAGTACATAGTCATTTGTGGGTAGAAATACTGTAGGTGCTATTAAAATCTTGATAGTTTACTACACAGGTTTTTAACCTTTTTTAACAACTGTACCCCTTCTCTCTGAAAGTTCCAGCTCAAGTACCCCTTTACATTTTTTTTTTCTTATTTTTAAGGTGGTGGGGAGGGAGCAAGTGAAGCTGGGGCTTCACAGCCAGGGCAGAAAGTGGGACAGAGCTGCAAGCAGCTCGATCAGGGGGCATGGAAAGGTGGTGGCAGTTCCTGCTGCTGCATGCACCCCAGGAGGGCATGGGGCGAGGGCATGCTGGCCCTGAAGTGGGGGAGGGAGTGGGGCAGGGGCTGTCCAGCCAGGGCAGGGCACAGGACTGAGCCACACAGGGGGTGGCTCCCACAGCTATGTGCACCCCTGGGAGGGCACAGGGACATGTGCCCCCTGATCTCAGTGGGGGAGGGAGGGCTGCCACTGCGGACTGGGGCCAGTGCCAGGCTGTTTCCAGGGGGGGCTGGGCTGGGCTGAGCTGTGCTGCACTTGGGGTGGGCAGTGGCAGTGCTGGGAGAGGGCTATGGGAGGGCTGCAGCAAATTCTGGAGTGGCTACAGCCCCCCCATAGCCTCTTCCCAGCACCGCTGCTGCTGCCCACCCCAAATGCAGCCCAGCCCAGCTCCCGCCAGGAAGAGCCCAGTGCAGCTCTCCCAGCACACTCCCAGGGTGTGAGCAGTGGCGGGGGGCACC